AGATTACTTTCTGGAGGCTTCTGTAGACTAGAAAACCAAAACCTTCTTGAAGGCTATCAATTTAATCCACTTCTTTCTCTTCTTTCTCTAATGACCATTTATTCTACTTACTAGCTGCTTTCCTATCCAGTTATCAATTATTTAATTTTCATTTTTTTTACCTTAGATCTAATATTTTCTGTCATTTATCAATATTAGGCCTTAATATGCTTTAGTGGACCATACAGTTATCTCAATATTCTTATAATTTCCCTTCTAACTTTTTGTAGTTGCTTGACAACATTTAAATGTATTTATTAAAGCTAATTACTGAAATTTCAAAGTCAAGTAACCACTTCTTTTAATTTGAATGTGAAAAATACAGCTAAGTTTTCCAAGTTGACTTTGAAAATCAATTTTTTCACTGTATAAAATTTCAAAAGTTCCTGCATGTATGTAACTRTTCCAGATTTTAAGAAATTAAATCACTTAAAAATCCTGATAATCAACCTTCTGTTTCCYGTCCATCACAGATTTTTTGTCTTGAAAGTCTCCTGTGTTATAGGGAGTTGATAGTTTTGAAACATCTGCAGTTTCCTAACCACCCTTTGAGTAGCTTTAGATAGGACTATCAATTGCTTTCATTTCAATTAAAATTAAGCAACCAAGAAAAGTCAAATACAGGACATTTTTACAAACCTACACTCAGGTTCAAACAGGTATTTTTTTCACTAACAAATAGGAAGGTCAAATGTAGAGGATGATATGGTTTTAGATGATACATAGTTCAAATGTATCAAAAACAACACTGAGAACAATTCTTGCCACAGCAGTTCTAAAATATGAGAAAAATATGTTATCATCAATATTTACTTAAAAAAAAATAATTTGTGTTGCAGTCATCCAACCCCAGCAAATTGCTAATACTGGTATTATACTGTGTACGGACCAACAATGCAGTCTTGTCAGAAATGACAGAAATTGTTAAGAGTTTTATGTTATTCRTGCACAGTGACTTTTTTAGTGTATCCAGGACTGCTCAGGCTATTGCTTTGGGCTTGAATGGTGTGAAGCAAACAGCCACTACACAGAAACCAGAATTAYTGACATGGTAGCCTTTGAAAAAAAGGAGGGTCAGTCTTCATGCAAAGATTACATTGCGTTTAGATCCCATTTATTTCAATCAGTGTAWGAAACAATATCCCATAGTTTTCAGTGCAAGGAAGTGCAGATTCTTATGAGAAGCCTTCTCTGTTTGTTGGCAGAGGTGAAAAACCTAAAATCTGCAGGGGGAAAAAAATACCTTTCAGAAAAGTAATACAGACCTCTGGCACTGTTCTCTGAGCTGGCCCTGGAAGAAATTGGATTTTTATTGTGAACRTTAGTACTATTTCTGGGATAAAATACATTTCTTTTCCACTTTTGAATAATTTACCCTTTTCTTTTAGAGTAAAAGGCATTAGTGCCAAAATACTGTGAGCATCATCTACTGCAATTAGACAGCCTGTGCAGTAGGCCAAATGAAAACCTTACATCATTTAAAAAATACTGAGACTTCTTAGAAGAGCCTTACAAATAACATTATAAGTTTTAAAAATAGTTCAGTGCAGAGTTTTTGCACAGTCTGGTCTGTTTTCATCTCATTGCTTTCTAGCCCATCATTCCATAGAGTATGACAGTAACTTCTTTCGAAATCCAGGAGACATTTTTCTGGGCAACCTATTCAGGTGATTTCTGTTCTGAAGATGGATGCAGGTTCTGATACAGGATTTTGAAGATGTTGTGCCCAAGTACACTCTTTATAAGGCTGGATAAGAGGGAAGGGCTGCTATGTTGTACACAGAACAAAACATTCCTGACATGCTGAATGGACTTGCCTGTTCACAGTATGTACCCTACAAGTAATTTTTTGACACTTTATGACTTTAAATAGCAGTTTTACAGAAATCTCTGACTTAGTGCTTTACATGGCCCTCATTACAATTGTTCTTAGAGCAACTGGAGAACAATTTTTCTTCTTGTGCTATTGTGTAGGATAGAAAACATGCACTTCCACCTTMGAGTTGCCTAAGGCTGAATATACATTGGATCATTTGTCCAATCTGTAGTCAGCTTTTTATAGGAAGTCTACAAGCACAGATTCAGGTCAGTGTGAGATACCCCTGGGTCTGATCATTGCATTGTCCGTCTTACTTCTGAATCTGTTGGCTGTCACATCAGACAGGGACTAAGAACTTTTGAATTGGTTTTRTGTTGAAAAAAATTACTCTTTCCTCATTTTCTTTACAGATATTCTCTCACTTGTATACTCCTCTTAGGATGTGTCTGTGGGGATTGAACTCTGAAGAAGGCTGATTTTCCTAGTTTCTGTCAAGGTTAACAYCTCAAGCTCTTTTCTGATAGAATCAATATTAAATGTGTGTTTCAGTAATTATATTAAGGAAAGATCCAAGCAGCTTTACTTCAAATGCCACTTCTTTAGCAAACCTGTTTTCATGGACTACATCTCCTTTGTGTACTTGGACAATGCAAATAGTTTAGGGGAAGTGCAATATTCACTCTTATGCTACATGATTATCTTTCATCAGCAGGAACTTCGCATCTTAATCCTACAATCAGTTTCTTTCTACTTCTCTGTATAGAAAATATTTTATTAGAATTGCTGAGTAAGGAAACCTCAAGATATCGTAGAATTTTATTTATGTGAAGAAATTAATGCAAGCTAATATTCTTGTTTCTTATTCTATTTTTCTTCGGTATTTGATTTTTGGTAATTGGCCCAACTTGTGTCCTACTGTGGAAGCTTGGCAGAGAGAGAGGGATAAAGAACASAGAAAAAGATTTGTAGGTGTCAGAGACAGCTTGTGTATGTGCCTGCATACATATGTGAGCTGGCAGAATGCAGGGCTATGTGGATTTTAACTGTTCAAATAATACTCTGCATAAATCTTTAGCTATCTGAGAATGTGACCCAMGAAAGGCAAAAGAAATATTTACAGGTGCTCCACCAGTGTTTGATTTCTGTACAGGGGTGAGCAGCATGCACTTACTTTCCAAGATACTTTGTCCATGCAAGGGTGAATCATGCAAGACACAGTTGACTCATGGGTGGAAAAAATGGAGTTAGTACAATCCAAAATGGCAAGGATTTGTGGTTACAAGGACAAAAACAAAATGTACATTTATACAACAAATGTAGGCAGTGAAGGATTTTCTGTTCGGTCCTTTTTATAATGGTGAAGGGAGGTCTTGACTTTTTTAAGAAAAGGCAACTTGAACTGAAAATGAAAGCCAATATACTGCCATTCTACCTCTAGCTGTGATCTTGCCTGATCTGGTAAGTTAAATGGGGTAAGTGCATGTGACATTATTAGAGGAAAAACTAGGCAAGAGAGGACAGAGCATTTTAATTGCTCAGAGGAACTCTTCCTCCTGAGTCAGAAATAAAGCTGTGCCTCTACATGCTGTCAATGGCAATATGGTGTTGGTTAATTACCCTTTGAATAGCATCTAATGCAGAAGTTGTGATGATCAGKGGTTATTAGAAATCAAAATGACCTTTATTTAGGACAAGTGATTTGGCTACATCCAGTTTTCGGTAAGTGTTTTACATTTATTCTAGTTTTTCTTGTAGTTCCAAATGGATAYGTTGTTTTCTAGTTTCTTTCCATAAATCTGTTATGTGGTTGTGCTTTCTATATTATTTTGAGTTCCAGCTGAGAGACAGCTCATTTAAAGTGGTGGGGAGAAAGCCCCATGAAAAGATGGATATTTGATACATCCCGCTGAAGTCCATTTGAAGAGAAGGCACTAAGTTTGTTCAAAAGTAACTCTTTTATTACCAATTGTAAATATTCTTTTTTTTTCTAGTTAAAATGGAAAACCACTTGAAATAATCATGGCTTTTTAAGTTCCACAAATAGTATTGAATGCGTGTAATATTAGGTGGATACTCGATTATCGTGAGAATCTATAGCYGTGGGTTTGCACGTAGGACACGGTATTCCAGGCGGTCAGCTCCGTGGATGTCAGAGCGGTTTATTTCTTCAGGTTGTGGCAGTTTCTGCAGTAGCTCTGAGAGATGTTTTAGAACTCTGCATCTCTTGTTTAACATGGCAGCTCGGAGAGTCCAGATAGGTTTAACATGTACTGCATTCAGTTCACATTTCATTTTAAAGGAGTCATTTTTGCTCTCTGCAGAGCCTTCAATTATAGAGGGCCAAATGACAGGCATAATTAAGGCAAGTGGTGGGATACCAGCGGAGCACTTCGGTGTTTCCACCAAGGATTTTGCAAATCCTAGCTTGATTAATCTGTTTAAGCATCTGTGCATCCTCTCGTCTGTGCAATTTATCCCTGGGTATCTCCCTTCCGCTGCCTGCCTGCCGTGCCTGTGTCTGCCTGCTCGCGGGGGATCAAACAGAGCCGCAGCCCGCTCTGCCGCCTCGCTCAGCGCTCGCACACGATGCGAACGATTCCGTACTCCTTGAAATACAGCTCACACTCGCATTCCGTAGTGGAACCGCAGGGCAGAGCCCACACTATTGAGAAAGCGGATCG